CTTTTTTTTTCTTTCTGTTTTTCCATTCCACAAAGATGCTTTCATCCAAACAGATTACTTTGGATTTTAGTTACTCTTTATTTTGATTTACAGTAACTGGAAGATTGCAAAACAGTGTTCACGAATTGCACAACCCTTCTGTAACCTGACAGATGATTTTGAAGCTGTGAATGATGAATATTACACATTCGTTCAGAGCTTTGTAGGAACTGAAGTATTCAATTCCTCGACACTTCGTTTTTCACCAGTTGATAATAGTAAGTTCATTTGTTCATTTCAGTTTTTGTTCCAGTTAGGTGTAAATGTTCTGCTAGCTTTACAATAAAGCATTATAAACTTTTTTTTTTTTTTTTTAACTGAAATATTATTGGCACTGAGTACACAGTGTAGATTTTTTCCATGTTTTCCTTTCCTTTCTTTTTTTGAACAGCATTCTTGGGACCTCCAGAATTTAATATCAGTTCCTGTCTACGCTGTATAAATATCACCATAAAGCTGCCACCCACTCACTTAAGAAAAAATGGAAAGCTGGTACCTTTATTTGATATATATAATTACCTTCATTATGAAATAACACTGAAAACAAATGATGAAGAACATAAGGTAAAGAACTTTTGTTTCTATTTCTTTCTTTAGACAAGAAATATAGAAAACATAAAATGGCTCTAATGGTCAGCAGATTCACACAAGTGAACAGAAAATACTTAGAAGAAAACATAATCTTGACTTCCTTATACTGCAGAGTAGCAGGCCTAGAAAGAAATACTGGTTGTCCTGTATCCTTAAGGGACTGAGGAGAGGGATTGGGGCTTAGCTATGACCCATAAGAAAATACTGAAATAATGGAGGATAGCTTAGTGCTTGCAAGCAAAACTCAGTTAGAGGCTGCAGTCTCTGACTGTGTAAATTTATGTAGAAACAGAGGAGATAATCCATTCCCTGTAACAAAAAATAGTGAACTGAAATTCACAGTTGTGCAGACCTGAAGTTAAAAAGAGAGGCATTAGCACTGGGGCTGGCATAGCACTAGAATAAATTGGCTAGCCAAAGAGCTAACTGCCTGCACTGGAAATTTTTTAGGCATAAAGTAAGCATCTTGACAGCTAGAACAAGAGATGAAGCAATTGCCTAGGTAAAACACTGAGTTACTATTTCAGTTTTTCCAGTTTCACATGTCACATTCTCTCTTTTTAGGTGAACAGTTAACTTTAAAACATTCTCTTTCATAACAGAGCTCATCCAAGAGAATCACTGCAGAACTTTTTAGTACAGTCATTGAAGAATTGTATTCGAATAGAAATTACTGTGTGTCTGTTATGATCGTTGCATCTCTAAATAAACATTCCATCCCATCAGCCTGGAAGTGCATAACTACAGACTCTGTAGCTGAGAAAGGTAACTATGCTGTGATGCAGAAATTGTTTTCTGCTTCAATTAGGTACCAGTGGTTTCTTTGTACTTAAGAAGATTTACAAGTCAATTCTAAAAATATTGAGAGAGAAAGTACCTACAAAGTGATAAACATTATGGGGATTCGTAAAAATATAAATATTAATATAAATATAAAACCTCATCCATTTGGGGGCTACAGATCTATTGCTAATCCCATGCACGATTCGAATCTGCAGTAACTGCATAAATAGTTATCAAAGATGGTGTAATTTCTTTCTTTAGTTTCTGATTCTAACTTGAAATTTGCTCGTCTTGACCTGTAGGTGTCCCTTCTATCCAAAATTATTCTGAGATTCTAAGTAGCTGTTCTGAATGTGAAATATGAAATGTGATAATTGAAAACTTCATTCATGCTTGTTTGGTTTTTTTCACTTGCAGGTTATCAGAGCATTGTAATTGCAGTTGCTGTATGTTTTGCACTTATTTTAGCTGTCATCCTGAAATGTATGCATATAGGAGGTTATATTCTTCAAAAGAAATCGCTTCCAGATACCTTGGTATGTAATTTTCTTATTAACCTTCCTGGTTCAAGCAGGAAGCTTGCCATATAAAATTTCTAAGTATATGTATTAGGTACAAGTAATGTATGTCCATATAGCATTTAAATTTGCAGTTTGCTTGTATCAAAGATAGTCTGTAGGCTACTAAATCACACAGACACACACACAAACTCTTTGTGGTGCACAGAAGCAGGCTACCCCACAGAAGAGAATTTTCTAGCCTTTGGAAATTATCTCATATATGTAAATCTTTCCTGCTGCATATAAATTTCTTCAATATATCTGAGCCAGGACAATTACACCGAAACAACAACAAAAAAGGAACTATATAGCTCTGGAAGAAAACTTACTCAAGGAGGAGGTTTAGGCAAACACAAAGTAAGCAGTACCTGCATCACCTCCAAATGCTAAGCTATTTTCAGTCAGCTCAGTCAGTTATAGAGTTTTGCATAAGTCCATAACTAAGGCAGGGTACTGTCCAATGCTGTGTGCCTTGACTTGCATTGAGGGCTGTCAGTTTACAGGAGTGGAGAAGTGGGAAAAATCCTAGATGCCGTGACCTCTGCAGAAAAGCTGACAATGTGGGACAAAGAGAATAATTTGTTTGACAACGTCGTGGTTGGGATATTTTTTCAGACTTTTCTGTGTGAGTGTTTGGCTTATGCGAGCCAGTTTGGCTTATAGTCTGTTGTTTTTTGATTCAATTTGTTCTTTTAGGTATTCATGAAAACGTTTACCTATTTACCATGTACATTTGAATCTGAAGAAATAGCCTCTGTAGAGGTCATTTATAAAGAGGTTAAAAAAAAGGCAGAAGGATCCATTGGGGCTGTCAGCGATGAAGATGACAGCGATGACAGTGAAAGCGATGCCATGAGTAATCATGATTACACAAGGCGTGATATCGTACGTAGAGCACCTCAGTCCTCTGACACGTCTCATGTATTTGTGCAGCACTCTACAAGTAGTACATGTGATGACAGTAGCAGCCGGGTGAGTCAGAATCCAGATGATGACCCAGAAGTCTTTGAAGAAAACGAGCTGGATGCTGAAGAAGAGAAAGACACCAGTAGTGAGTTACTCAGTCCTTTGTCTAAGGTAAATTCTACTTACTCTCTTAGGTCAAGGAGCAATGCTTGCTTTACCATAAACTTAAAATCCGTGCTTCTGGGAATCTCTGAAGAGACCACAGACACTTCTGCAGCTCTCCTCTCTTCCCAAGAAGATGCTGATGACTGGCAATGTGCACATGCTGTTGAATCCAAACTCCTTGACGACACAGAAAGCATGCAGAAACCACATCATCTAAACAGTTCTGATGTGTGGCAAAATTCATCTAGTTCTTCCAGTGAAAGTGACTCATCGGATTCAGATATGGACCCAAAAAGCGAATACATCCGAAGATGAATAACTGAGAACCACTATTAATTTGTAGCATACTGATAGATATTATCTAACTTAGCTGTTTCTGGACTAAACATATAGATCTGATCTTTTTTTTTTTTAATTTTTTTTTTTTTTTTTTTACATTCTGAAAACATATGCCTAAGTACCAGGAATACACAGGACTTATTTGTAACAAATATTTCTGTGACCTTTCTGGATATGATTCAGCTTATGTTACCTACAGAAGAATGAAAAGCAGTGTTAGGATGTAGCAGAAAAAGGGAGTCGTTATTTTGTTTTGTGGTTAAATACTGTATTATACATTTTAGCTGTACCATAGTAAATATTTTCTATAAACTCAAGTGAGGAGTTAGCTTATAGAATGGGGAAATGTGAGCGGCCTGCCTTTTAACCTGTCCGCTTCTTAGTTTGAAAGGGCTCTGCTACAGTTCTTTAGCTCTGCTGGTGGGTTACTCTGAAACTTGTTGCTGGATGGATCACAGCCAGAAGGGTAGTGCTGTGTTCAAGTCAGTGAACTGATTTCTAAATTCGTACAGAGAAAGCTGATCAAATGAAATTGTGGAGGTGTGGGAAGGGGAGGTGAAAATGCACAGAAAAGAATATTCGAGAGTTCTTACTGTGAATTAAGGCATTAAAAGTATACCTTTTTAATACAATTTTGTGTATTTACATACTATTTTTTAATGTTTATATGACATTTAAAAATTACTGGAGCGCAAAGTTGTACTTCCAACACTTGATAAAAAGTAATTTTTTCATACTTCTGTCTGTGAATTCTTAACGGTGGTTTCTTCATGCATTTGTTAAGTTAAATTGGTTATCCTGCTAAGAATTGACTCCTTGGGGAGGGCTCTTAGGTGTCACTTTGCCAGATAAGCAACTCTTCTCTCTTTCTGCTGATCTGCTCAGTACTTCTCTCATCAGTTTCTGGCTGGTGGTGTGTCTGGCAGTCATTCTTTTGATTGGGGGAGCTAAGAGTAATCTCTATGGTGCTGTACCACTTCTAAGAGATTGATGCACAGAAACTTCACAGATGAGTTTTGTTACCATTAAGTCAGGGATTCCATATTAGCGGTGCTGGGGAGCATTGGGGATATTTCCACCATAAGCACTTCAAAGATGACATCACAGAATCACAGAATGGCTTGGGTTGGAAGGGACCTCAAGGATCATGAAGCTCCAACCCCTCCCTGCCACATGCAGGGCCACCAACCTCCCCATTTAATACTAGACCAGGCTGCCCAGGGCCCCATCCAACCTGGCCTTGAACACCTCCAGGGACGGGGCACCACAACCTCTCTGGGCAGCCTGTTCCAGCACCTCACCACTCTCATAATAAAGAACTTCCCCCTCACATCCAACCTAAATCTTCTCTCCTTCAACTTAAATCCATTTCCCCTTGTCCTGTAGTTATCAACCCTTTGAAAGGGCTGACTCCCCTCCTGTTTGTAGGCTCCCTTTAGATGCTGAAAGGCTGCAGTGAGGTCACCCTGCAGCCTTCTCTTCTCCAGGCTGAACACGTCCAGTTCCCTCAGCCTGTCTTTGTAGAGGAAGTGCTCCAGTCCTCTGACATGATTCGGAGTTCATTATATTTCCACAGATAGTATGCATTCAATTATCTGCAAGATAATTAATATATATGCACCTGTCAGGTAGTGATTGATGATGTTTCCAGTCTTCTATTCCATGGTCTCTTCTACAGTATAGTGTCCTTTTAGCATCATGACAGCCCATCCAACAGCCTTTTACTTCATCCAGTGGTCTTCCTCGCTCGACCTCCAGATGAACTTTCTTCACTGATGCACACTCAGTAGGAGAATGCCTATTATAAGTAACTTATAGGTACCAAAATTCTAAGATTTGCTCACTCAGCCATTATTTCTGAACATCTGCTCGTCCTTGGATAGAGAGAAGTTTGGCAAGCTTCATGATATATACTGGGGTGTTGGAAAATAAGGAGGATAGAGGGGAGTATCTTGACATCTGTTTGTTGCATCCCACCGTACTCACGGATGAGACAGTTTGGCCTTGTGTGGAGGCCCTGACTCCTCTTGATGCTTGATAGCCTACTCGTGTCTTTTCATTGCTGCGTTTCTTTTGCTGAAATTCTCTTGTTAAAACAGAATAGCCTTACAACATGCTTCCCAGTCCATAATGCAACATTACAAAAAGGTTTGCAAGCTAATCACATAATACAACAACCCAACAGCTATATTTCTAAAAATGTGCTACTAAAATATATCGTGTATTTACTTCTTCAGGTCAGACCTAAGCAGGTACAATTACTTGCCAGCTCGGATCTTGCCAAGTGAGCTATTTGCAGATTTACGCATCCAACTTGGCCCCTCCACAGAGCGACAACAGGGGAAGGTCAGGTGCTGCTCGCGTTTCAACTCGAGCACCGGTGCCGCTCTGAGAGGGAATTTCCCTGCGGACTGCGGTTCCTCCTTCCCCAGGCCGCCCCGCCCCGCCGGGCCGCGGCAGTGCGGAAGGGCTGCGGGGCAGCCCCGCTGCTGGGGCAGCGCCCGGCTCCGTGAGGCGGCGGCTGACGGAGGGAGGGAGCCGCCATGGCAGCCGCCCTGCGGGGCGCCCTCTGGGGCTGCCTGCTGCTGTGCGGTGAGTGAGGCGGGCGGGGAAGCGCCTCAGCGGGGCGCTCGGCGGCGGCGTTCCCCGGGCCAGAGCGCAGCGGTGGGACCCGGCCTGAGTGGGGAGTCGGGGTGCGCGGAACCCGAGGGGGCGGGGAGTTGCGGAGCGGTGTCGGAGCAGCGGTCGGGTGAGGCTTGTTTACGAGGCTCAGGTGTGCTCTTCGATTTCGTCTCAGTATCAGCGGTTGCTTTAAGATGATTAAGTCGTAGCAGTAATGGACTACGGCCGGTGCTGTTTGAGGACTTCCTTTACTTAATTTCGGTTTTGTTCTCATCGCTCATGAAGAATGCCGATCAATAGCGCCTTTATCCGCATGGCATACTTCATGGATCTCTTGTCTTCGAAGCTACTTCTCGTTTACCTCCCTTTTTCCGAAGGGCGGCTGTTAAAAGGGAAGAACGAAGCATTTTAAATGTCAGTACTAATCCATGTGGTGATGACATCTGTAGGGGTTCTGTTTCATTCTTTTAGTTCTGTGCGGAGAGACTTTTCTTCATTCCAGGCCAGGTTGGATGGGGGCCCTGGGCAGCCTGAGCTGCTGGGGGGCAGCCCTGCCCACAGCAGGGCTTGGGGTGAGTGGACTTTCAGGTCCTCTCCGACCCAAACCCTTCTGAATCTGTGGTTTGTGCTCCCCTTCAGAAAAAAATAAAATAAAATAAAATAAAATTCATCCACACATCCATGTTTAGCCGTAGTACTAGAGGAGCACTGCTGAGAAACAGTGTTGGCAATCTCATTGAAAACTTGTGCGGGCAGTTTGATGGGCAGCAAGTCGTAAGCAGGAGCAGTCATTGCTCAGAAGTGATGTTATCGCGAAGGCAGTACTTACTGGAAGTCATTGATGCCAGCTGATTTGCCTTTGTTGTGCAATCTTGAGACTAATGATAGGCATCAGGGGTTAATTACTTGTTGGAATGTGGCTAGCACATGCTCAAGTCTATTTGAGAAAACATTTTAAAGGCTGAGATTGGAAGGCAGGGTTGTGTTTATGTCATGGGTGACTGAAAAGTCAGTGGAGGAACACACACTAAAATGTTTTGTCGTTGATTGCTCCCACAGTGTCTGGAATAGTGCCCAAGCCCCGAAATGCAAGGATAAATTCAGTAAATTTTCGGAGCGTTTTACTATGGGACCCACCTAGGGTTCACAAAGGCAATCTAAGTTACACTGTCCAGTTCAAAAGGTAAGTATGGCAGAGTTGTGGGGTTTTTTTGGTGATACTGTTTTTTAAAATCCACATTTTACAGCTGTGCATGTTTGATTTCTTTCCATTTCTATAGGGAAATTGGTAGCTCTCCTTTTCTTTTAGCTTGTGAGATGCTCGTCTTCTGAGCTGAATAACAAGACTGACATTTTTTCTGTGCATTTAGAATAGAATAGAACAGAACAGGACAGAGTAGAATCACTCAGGTTGGAAAAGACCTTAAAGATCATCAAGTCCAACCACAACCTAACCATACTACCCTAACAACCCTCCGCTAAATCATGTCCCTAAGCACCACATCCAAATGGTTTTTAAGCACATCCAGGGATGGTGACTCAACCACCTCCCTGGGGAGCCTATTCTAGTGCTTAAAACCCTTTCTGTAAAGTGTTTCCTGATATCCAACCTAAACTTACCCTAGCACAACTTGAGGCCATTTCCCCTTGTCCTGTTGCCTCACCAGTGAGAAGAGACCAACCCTGCTTTTGCTATAAGCACCTTTCAGATATTGGAAGTGAGCAATAAGGTCTCCCCTCAGCCTCCTTTTCCCCAGACTGAACAGCCCCAGTTCCTTCAGTCTCTCCTCGTAGGGTATATTCTCCAAGCCCTTCACAAGCCTTGTTGCCCTTCTCTGGACCTTCTCCAGCACCTCCATGTCCTTTCTGTACTGAGGTGCCCAAAACCAAAGCAGTTTCATATGTACTTTTTCAGAACTGGAAACACATTTTAAAGTTGGCTCTTACGAGCTGCGTGTATGTTCTTCACTGCCTGCATAGCCATCACCTGTTGTTTGACAGCTGTAATCCTGCTGAACATTAGGACCTTCTCTGATCTCTCATCCCTAGCAGCATAATCTTTTATTAAACAGTCCCCAGTCAGCTCTCAGGCTCTGTTTCCCCAGCTCTCTCTTAGACTTGTGTCTGAGGGGTCCAGCAAAGGCACACACGGAGGTATTGTCCAATATTTACAGTCTGGTTTAATATCTAGTGTCTGCTGAATCACATCTTTGTAATCACTGCCAAGAAAAGGGCTTCTATTTTCTGACTCAATTTTAATCTCTAAGTCTGTCATGAATATATATGTATATACGAAGTGCTTAATGTGTGTGTATACACTAGAAATAATCTACCTTGATCTACCTTTCCTTGTCCATGAGTCATAACTGGGTGTATTAAGAAGCAGATGTGCCACTGTTCCAGTTCGCTGACAGGAAAGATATTTTGTTCATTTTATAGTTTACCCATCACTTACTTTTTTTTTTTTTTTTTCCTCCTTCTTCCATACAGCAATTTCCCTAAGCAGGACTTCACCAATGTGACAACCAACCTGAATGTCACGGAGTGTGACGTCTCTTCTCTGTCTGTTTATGGAACCTACGTGCTACGGGTCAGGGCGGAGTGGGAAGATGAGCACTCGGACTGGGCGGTCGTCAGGTTTAAACCAATGGCTGACAGTAAGCCTTCCTCTAATCTGCCATGAAAACGTTGTCTGTTGTTGATGCACCGTACGATTTGGCCCCAGAAGAAAAGCTATAGTGTAGAAATCCATTTTAAATGTAGTTATGTTGAAAAATAAAATGTTAGTTGTAACACTTTCATTTTTTGAAGAGGGAAGTTGCTCTCAGAAAATGCTGAAGATTCACTATTTTACCTGAATATTAGTATTGGGACTCAAAACCTCTTTGGGGGAGGTTTTATTTTATTCCATTTTTAAAAGAGGGCATTCACAGCAAAAATTTAATTTTTTGTCAAGAAATAATCTTAAATGTACAATACTGTCATTCTGTTAGTGAAACTTTACAGCCCTTAGTGAGAGATATTGACTTATATGATTGTGTACAGCACAGATATTAATCATAGAATCATTTAAGGTTGAAGAAGACCTCTAAGATCACAGAATCACAGGATGGCCCAGGTTGGAAGGGACCTCAAGGATCATGAATCTCCAACCCCCCTGCCACATGCAGGGCCACCAACCTCCATATCTAATACTAGACCAGGCTGCCCAGGGCCCCATCCAGTCTGGCCTTGAACACCTCCAGGGATGGAGCATCCACAGCCTCTCTGGGCAGCCTGTGCCAGCACCTCACCATTCCCTCTGTAAAGAACTGTCACCTAGTCCAACTGTAATTATGAATCTGAGCACTGGAATGAGGGAGTGGGTTTTACCAGTGAGAACCTTTTATTTCTTACATTCTTCCTCTGCTCATAAGCAAAATCAACTTGTTTTAGACCATGTAATTAATGTTACCCAAGACATTTTTTTCTTCACAGCTCTTAATACCAAATCTCACATTTGAGAAATATGTCTTAAAATCCTTTTTTTCTTGCTCAGTCTTCATTTGCTTAATTTCAGCATTCTCTTCTTTGGATTTCAGAGAATCTTACAGCTTTGTTTTTCTAAACATTTCTTTTAGTTATCTCTCCAAAAGCATAATGTTGATGTAACTTAATCTGCCCAGAACAGAAGTGCTGGAACATAGCACAATAAACAAAATACAACGTTGCAAAGTAATGTGGGTGTCCAACCTTTTATCTTGCCTGGTTTGCACTGAGTGAACAGCAATTGTCGTGGGCCGCACATAAAATATGTAATATAGATAATGTATAGAAGTAACAAAACTTCTTTTTATAAATATGTATACATACATTTCTATATAAGCATAAAATTAAGGGGGCAACAAAAACACCCCATAAAACTAGCAGGTTGGACATGTATGGCAAATGTAAATTAGAGAAGGCTTTAATAGAGGCTCACAGCACATAATGCTGTTGACAACTAAGCTACTCATGAAATTAGGTGATGGCAGAAAAACTTGATAAAGACATTTTCAAAACACAGAAATACAGTATTTAACCCAAGGAGCTCAATCCAGACGCACAGAAGTAATAAAAATGTTTCAGTTTGTCAAAACAATCACAGTGAAAAAAACATTGAAATGCTTCACTGGAAGGTCTCCTCAGATAACAGATGTTGCAACAGTGCATCTTAAGAGGAGAAGTGAGCAATAACCCATGGAAATAGTCCTTCCTCCCCAAGGGTGCCCACAGCTGGAAAAAGAGAACTGAGTGAATTAAATATGTTAACTGCAAAAACAAATCTCTTTGAAGAGGCTTTCTATTAAGGAAGGGTTTATTTATGCCTGACTCAGGACAGAAAATTACTTTTTTCTAATGCATAAAAAGATTTAAAGCATGAATTATCACAGTTTATGTAAAAATTCAAAATGAAAACAACATAAAACTGAATTGTGCTCTTTCGTCTCTTCCCTATAGCGATCATTGGACCACCCATTGTGAATGTGAAGTCTGAGTCAGGGACTTTGCACGTGGACTTCACAGGCCCGGCTGCTGACCATGAGCACGACAAGTGGTCTCTTAAGCAATATTACGGCTCATGGAATTACCGAATACTGTACTGGAAGAAAGGCAGCAATAAAAAGGTAATTTCTGCCTCCAGAATGTTGTGACTCCGTGACTTTGGTATAGGGTTTTCATGGTAAAATGCTGTGTTGATACGAAGTTTCAACAAAATAACAGTATTGGAATAAAACTATATCACTACTAATTAGTGAATAAAGCCTAGTTAGTACAACTGGTATTCAGAGCAAAGTGGCAGATAGTTGTGTAGCTAAACAGTGGCGCAGAGATGATTTGCTCCTTTTTTAATTAGAAATAACTGCTCCATTATAAGACTTTATTCCCTCAGGAAGTGATGCTTTGATTTGTGCTGCAGTCTTCCCACCAAGTCTGTATATTTCACACACACAGGCAAGGGTAAACTTAGAAGCTGTGACATCAGTGCTATCTATCCAGTGGTGATAAGCTGACTTAGATTCAAATCTCATGTCGTTCTAGTATTTGTGCTCCTTGTGGAACACTGAGTTTTCAGTAACACCATGGCTGGGGCTTTCTGTTCCTGTGATCATCTTTTTATCTCATCACTTCCTATTTGCCTGCTTTTTTTGAAGGACAGCCTTTTCCTCAGGCAGATGTGTCACTCAACTCGAAAGACCTCTCCTTAGAGAACACCTGGTTAAAGATCATAAATGATTTATTAATTATTTAGGGTCATAAATTCCCTTACAGGAAAAGAAGGAAGCACTTTACTGGAAGGGCTTGGTACGTCACTACAATTTTCATCTAGTAGGACTCCATTACATATAATTCTAATGTGTTTGTTACTCTGCAAAACTCCTTGGCATTCAATCCCAGAAAATTAAGGATCATTAGTTCCCAAACAATACATGCTTTTCAGTTCCCCAATTACAAGAAACAAAGGTGGTTTTGCATATGGGCCACAAACCTAGACGATTTACCAAAGAAAGTGGGAACTTCGGTTAGAATCTGTGCTTGTAACACTTCAGTGTTCGGTCTGAGAAATTTCTATCAGGATCAAAGAGGCAAAAGGACAGACTGCGTAATTTCATAAGCTGTTCTTCTGAAGTGGAGGCTTGCTCAAAATCTTGAATACTTACTAGAAAGTCTTCTCAGCCCTAAGAGTCTGTTTTTATTACATGATGAGCCAAGTCATAGGAGTTCCTATATTTTGCAGGGACCGTATAGGTAACTAAAGAAACGTAACCAAACCTGTAAAGAGCAAATTGCATCATTGTCTATCACCTAATACTTCAACAATCCTTTTTATTTCTCTGTCTTTTAAGTTTTGTCTAGAGCTTCCATCATACTGGCTCTGGAACTAAGTGATGCTTGTCTGTAACAGCATTCTCAGGTGATCTCATCTGGCATTCTTTCTCTCTGCAAGCATCCCATTAATCACGTTTCTGTAGGGCTCTTTAAACCACAGCTTCACTAATGCAGCTAGAGGCAGACAAAGGCAGTGGTATGAGTGATCTCCCACTCCAACCAGAGATGAAATCAGTGTGAGTTACCAGTTATTTGACACTGGTAAGGCGTTTCATTCTGCCTTTAGAAGCCTGATTCACATTGCAGCTGTAACTGCTAGGATTTGTCCTACTGCCATTTAAATTACTTTGTACATTCACTGGATTCCTGCTTTGCATTTATTTTGTATCCTTCTCTTTTATTAGGTAATTCACATAGATACTAAGCATAACTCTGAAATATTATCTCAGTTGGAGCCATGGACGATATACTGTATTCAAGTGCAAGGGGTTATTCCTGAGTGGAACAAAACAGGAGAACTGAGTCAAGAGCTTTGTAAGCAGACCACCCATAACGGTAAGATCTGGAGCATCAGAATGTTATAAACATGGTGTTCAATTAGGAAATGTACAAAGGCATCCAAAGTGAAAATCCGTGGAATGTGTAAGCCTTCCAAAAGCTGATGCATTGATTAGTTTAGTATTTTTTTAGTATTATTTGGTGACACGTGCACCTTTGGAACTGAGGGGTTAGAAACGAACTGAAAGCTACAACCAGTATGGCTTTGATCACAATCACTTCACTGCAGAGACCTCTGCATTGCTCAGACTTTGAAAATAAGAGTTAAATGAAGTACAGGCTCCTCACTGATCACCGTTATGTTTCTGAATTCCAGTTACTGTTAGCTGTACTCACTGTTGTACAAAAGCTTTTCTTCCATAAATCTGAGAAAGGAATTGGATTCCAAATTGCAGTCTGCTCCATCTGTGATGCTGTGGCCAATGTCTGTCATGAGGCCACGGTGCTTTTTGCTGTGTAAAGCACAGTAGTTGTTAATTGATGATAAAAACAAATTGCTTTTCATGTTTAAGGCAGTTAGGCACCAAAAACACATTCATTTCCAGCTGTGCCACCTTGGCTGCTGCCAAGGAGTCCAGCAATCTGTATCGTTGGACCGTGCCATCTCAGCAGGGAGATTTAGGATAAAAGATCAGTTAAAAAGAGAGGATGGAACACTACACAATGTCTTTTTCATAGACATAATGTGTACTTCAGGTAACTTAAACCTTCTCTTCAGTCAGAGACACAAGTTAATGAGGAGAGGAAGCCATCTTTGGGAAGCTAACCTGTTACTCTTACAAACGTCCTAAATATTTTTCCTACCTGTATGTTATCTGCATGCACTACAGTTGAATTGCAGATGGGTTTAGATGGTGGTGTTGCTTGTTCATCTGTGGCTAAAGCAGCACTTAGCAATCATGATGTAAAATATTTTCAGTGTTGCATGGCTACGTTGTTCCCATCACCTGTTGTGAAATCCATAAATGGACACAAATTTTCTCAAAGTCTCAGTATTTTGGAAGCCTACAGACTTTTGTCCTGTGTCTTTGCTGCCATTGTTACACATATCCTTAAGATAAAAATGAAACCCTGTGCTCTGGCAGTATCATGTATCAACTCTTACACCCCAAGAATACCAAAAAATGTATACAAGAGCTTTCTTTTTACATATTATCCCATGGATGATTACATTCATCGTTTGCTTAGTGTTGTATGCAGAATCATGTAGCAGTGTAACTGTAAATTTCTAAACCTAATAGTTTTTATATGCACTTTATTGAGAACCTTCTCAGCCTATTAATACAGGTTGTTTTTTTATAATTCCATTGGGAAAATGATTATTTGACGAGCATGTATAGAATTCGTAATTGCAGTTTTAATGTATTTTTCTTTGTATCTTTGCAGGTGTAACTCCTGTGTGGATAGTTGTGATTGTTCTTCTAGGATCAATGCTGGCTGTTATAATATCTGTTCCTATTTGTTTCATTTCCTTTTGGTATCTGTACCGACTCACTAAGCATGTTTTCTGCCCTTCATATATTTTCCCACAGCACTTGAAAGAGGTTTGTTCCCTCCCTAACACAATTAAAATCAGCCTTTTCGGTACAACTCTCTGCTTCTCAAAGCTTCTCTGCAGCCAAACCTTTTCATTTTATTTTGCATTCTTCCTTTGCTCCTGGTTGTCAGCCATCTGGGAGGCTTGTAGATGATAAAGGACAGTGCTGGTTATTGGTAGGTGCTCTGAAGAACTCATTCTGTTGTCTGCTACTATATATCTATTGTGTATGGTAGCTCTTGCTCTTCTGCCATACATGAACTACAGACAATTTATTCAACTAAGCGTAAGTGATGAAGTTGTGAACTCTGGGGAAAGCTGACAAAAGAAGGTACTTTTCAGCAGGAGCATGGTGGTGGAAATTGGTTCATTTAATGTTTAGTTTCAGACACTTCAAGGTTATAAATTTTGCATTAATTTTACCTCATTTTCTTCATCAAGTTCTGCATAGATATAAGCACAGTGTTGAAATCAGACTTCCTTTCGAAGAATACTGGTGTAAAATAAACTTTAAAATGCTGTAATTCTGAATTGCTCTGCAACAGAATAGTCCAAAATACTTAGAAGTTGAACAATTAAAAAATTTGGCATAGACTTTTATTCCTAAAGCAATTACATAATCTGTAATATGAGGCTTTCTATGGCTTAGAAACAGGATGTTGTTTTGCATTTTGAAGTCAGAGAATAGCAGGTGTTATAACCCATGGTTCCTCTTTTAATATGGGAGCAGTTGAGATCTGTCTCCACTTTCTTATTTTACACTTCAGATTGTACACCTGTTCTGAAATGGTTATTACACAAATATATTAAAACTCAACTTAAGCAAAGAATTTAGTGAAATCTGAAGACTTGGGAAAAAATAAGCCAGAGCTTCTGGCAATGAGCTTGTTACCCATGCAGCAGCTTTAAATCAGTTATGCTATATCAGAATCTCTAAGGAACAAGGTTATGCAAAATGTTATATGTGCTGAAGTTGCTAACTTATACTGCTCTAAATTTCCTGAAGTATTTCTTCAGCCTTCCATTTTGCCTCCTTCAGGATTTAGCACTCCAAAGCTTTGTAGCAGGCCTAGCAATCACCTTGTACTGTAAGTTAAGCATATGCTCAGCACTCAGCAGTTGCTGAACCTGGAGCTCAGCTGCTGTGAAGGCATAGCTCTGTAGATCTCCCTCCCTATCCTTTATCCAGTAGTTATGTTTTGTGTTGACATTTAAAACAGCACTATTGCATGTATCAAGCTAACATCTCTCTGAGACGGTTCAGATGATTTGCGTCTCTTGAAGCTATTTTACAAATCTCTCTGCTCCTTCATCTGCAGCCAAGTCATTGTTGTTTTTCTTCCCAGACAAAACCTAAGAGGTTGGTTTTTATAAAGAAAGTAAGTTTATGTTTCATAGAAGTTGCATGCCATGGGGTTAGTTCTTACAAATAAAGGCACTTCTGGCTTGCGAGGGGGAAAGAGGTTGCTCTACTGTCAGCACTCTAAAGGACTTCTAAGGACTAAGAAAGCCAGCTTGTGTGGAAAACAATATAAAACATATTTCTAAGCAAGCAGGATGGGATGGCTGGTGCAGCTTACCTCTCATTTCCTCTTTTCTTCACAGTTTTTGAGCAAGCCTCCTAGTGGTTCGCAGTTTATTTCTCCAGTTCCACAAGAAGAGCATCATTGTCATGATTGGCTCACTGTCATTTCAGAAGAACCTAAAAGTCAAAGTGATGAGACTGTGGAAGAGACCACGGAAACAACAGAGTGCCATCAGGAACAAGAAGTTTCTGATTCAGAAATACTATCACCTTTGGAAAGGGACTAAACACTCCTCACACTTCAGTCAGGTTGAAAGAAAAGCAAAGGTTGTTAAGTTTCTCTTATTGCTGCATTCTTAGGAAAATTCATACTTGAAACTCTGAGCACAGACTTCTGACATTGTTTTTTAAAGTCCAAGACACTTGCTGATGGCTGTGAAAGTAAATAATACATAATTTTTTGCCACTGTTTTTAGTGGCTCACTGGTAAGTTGTAGCAATATTCTGGCTATACTATGCCATTAATTTAAAAAGCAAATACCAGAAATGTGATACTAGCTAATTTAACTTGGATGAACTATTTATTGCACAGCTAGTCACAGTGGCATGCTGTATAAGGTTTTTACAGCAAGATTACATTTTGCAAAGAAAGAGCCAACCAGACTTATTTTTATAATGAGAAAGTGTGTATATTTAAGATATGCATAGCAACATAATCTTTTTATTGTTTTTATTCTTTTTTTTTAATCTAATGCGGAGCCCTGGAGTTATTTACACTGAGTTATGTACCATCATAATAAACCAAACATTAAAATTGAGTGTGATTTCCATTGCAAGGTCTTATTCATCCTTGCTAAGGAAAACAGGAACATAGCACTGCACCATCAGGCAGTCCACCGTGATCAGGTGTTGCTCAGTCCCCTGAGCTTCTGCCCTGCAGTTTCCATGGTATGCCTACCTCATCCGGAATCGACTGAACTCTATGGAAAACTTTGCAGTTAAAGAGAGATTTAAAAGTTCATTTTATTTACCTACTGATACATATTCTCAATTTAAAAAAAATAAAAAAATAAAAAAATTAAAACCAGTTGGTTGTGACATGCTACATAATGCTACATGAGGTTTATAGACCTGTTCATGTGTGCCAAGGTTATGTCCACACCACTGTCATCAAGCGTGACCCTTGCACTGTGCTCTAACCCTTTGAGTGATGCAATTTTTTTTTTGTATATGTATTACTGCACTCAGTGAAAAATGCAGCCAGCAGAAGTGACTTGTTACAAATGAAATTGTGTAACTTAATGTGGAAATGACAACATTTGGGGTTACAGTATTGAGGTTTGTTAGCATGCATTGCAGGAACTGCTGCAGAAAGAACCATGAGAACAGGCGCTGATTCTTTGTACAGGGTAGTTACATGCAGTTTGGATGAGCTTTTCCTGTACTTTCTAATTTCCATCATCTTTTGTTTTAATGAACCATTTGGGATATGGAAATGTAAGAAAGCATTTTTGCTATGTTTTTTCAGACATTTTGTGTGGCATACTTGGCATGCCTCCCACCATAAAAATGCAGCTGTGTTCCCTATTCCTCCTTCCATATTAGCAGCTTCTTCAACTTCTGTACGTTTTTGGTTGGGTTCTTTTCAGCTTTCTCAAGAGCAAAAATGACATAGCATAGCTCTTATGACCAAGCCATATGCCAGCAGTGGGCTGGCCAGCTGATGTCAGAAGAAGGCTGATATTTCCCTGTCCTTTGCTCAGACTGTTAGGGAAGGCCCTTTCTCTCTCTGCCTGCTGATTTTCATGGAAGAATATGAAGTTCTTGTCTATCAGAAATGACTGAAAACAGTCAATTATGATGAGGGCACAGATAAGGTACTGTGTTCTGCCTCTTGATCACAGATTCATTGGCGAAATTGGCCCAATTTAAAAATAAAAACCTTGGCTATTCGGAAATACAGTCTCTTTAGATTAGGGCAGCAAGAATCTGTTCAAGAACATTGTCTCTGAAATCATGAGAGTTTGGCTTTCCCCATTTAAAAAGAGGAAGTGTTTCCCCTTGTGTCTCTGCTGACACAGTTGTTGTTGTATCACAAGGAGAGGAGAGGGATTGTTCCTCTTTCAACGAATTCAAAGCGGGGAAAGGAAGCATTTGTCTTGATAACCTTGGTTAACTTTGCTTTGATATGGAACATGCTGTCGTCAAAGAAACAGCTGCTGTAAGTTCCCATGGGGCTGTCTTTCACTCACTGTCTGTGTCACCATCAAAATCCTTTATGTGATTGACTCCAAAATGAAAAGTATATTCATAGTCCAGCTGCGCCTTGGTTAGCATGCAATAGGAATGAATTCCTCAACTCTACATCTCTGCGGTTCATGGGGGTTTCCAGAAAGTCCTTGGATGACTTCTAGTTTCTTTGCTAAATTTGACTCTTCTGATACCATACCAGGGTTTATGGCTAAAAACACTGTGATGATTTGTACTTCACAGCTCCCACACACAGCATTCATTGAGAATTCACCTGTGATAAAGGTGGAGTGTTCACAAGTGCAACTCCAGCAGATAACACAGATAACAGGTTAAGGAACCTGTTGGGGCAAACCATATTCTTTTTGTGTAATTCAAAGGACATTTTTCTTAAATTTCAGCCACACAATATAAAGGATGAATACAGAGCTGTGCAACTAGGATGTGAAGAATTCACAGCACTACAAAAAGGGAAAGCCCAGCTCATTTTTTACTTCTGACTTCTCACCTCTGATGTGTCTGTTCACCTCATTTAAAATTATCCTGGCTAAAGCCAAGCTAAGCCATTCATGCCTCCAGCTTTCACTCACACTTTCCTAAGCAGCTTTTCTGGGGGATGGCAGGCTGTTCCAGCTAAGGCCCAGTCACAATTAGACTAAAGGACAAAGTGACAAGGGGTGATATATCTAGAAGCTCTGGGCCTTGTCTCACAAAACCAACCCTCAAGTTCCACCAGATCAGTAGCACCTTTGGAAGGTAATAGCCTGAGATCCTTCTGTAGAAGAGCCTCAGTGCCTCTTCAGAGACCAGCAATCTAAATGAGCTTAGCTTGTGGTGAGTATGATGAAAGCAAAACAATAAAACAACTGCACTTCTAATTTAGGTGTTTATGATTTAAACTGCAAGGTAAGGAGCTCGCTATTAAATCTGCCAGGATTTTGACAAAGTAGAACAGACTACTTTGGAGAAAGGGAAATAATTAAAAAAATAGGAAGAGAAGGATGACTAAGGAATGGAGAAGTGGGGAAAACAAAAGGAGAGCTTGTGGTAAACAAGACTGATCACAGAAGAGAGCAACAAGGAAAAAGGGAACAGCAGAACCCAACCCAGACCAAGCAAGGGATGAGGGATGAGATCACCCATTGCTCACTTTCTTTCTCTGTGTTTGGTAGCTTCAGCACCTTCTCCCCATGCAGGTTCCTTAGGCACCAGCAAAGGCAGGCTGGCTGGAGAGTGCAAATTCACATGTGCTGCCTGGCCAGAGAGACTCCAGCTGAAAAATACAGGGCTTTCAGAAGCTTTAACTCTACATCCACCAGGAAAAGCTTTTAAATAGCCTCTTAACAAGAAATAAAGTACAAGAATTTGTGGTAATAAGTTAATCGTTTTTTTCTGAGGCGGTATGGGAAATTATGTTACTAAGCATTTTTAGTTTACTGTTAATCATATTATTGAGTAAGTGGTATGGAGTATCTGTGCAAACCAAGGCTCCTTCCCTTGATACTGCACTATCATGAGATAGAAAGGTGAAAATAGCTATTTCTTGTACAGCTTGTACAGAAAGCACTCTGAGAAAACAACCAAGGTGTGTCAATATACTGGAAGTTACTCATTGTACTCCTAATACAGAATCTTTTCCAATTTTTCCCTTGTATTCCCTTGAGTTAATACCTATGCTTTCAAGTAATTACTGTAAAAGGCTGGAGGTACAGAAAGATAACGATATCAAAAAGAAAAATGAGATAACATTGGGGAAGCCTTACAGAGGAAACTCTGACTCCAGCAGCATTGATGTGCATTCACTGGTGCTAGGACTACACGCTGGCAAAAGCACCAGACCAAAGAATGTTTAACATCTCAGCTCTTCCATCTTCCTATTGACAGACATTGTGTAACTCATACATCATCTCTCATTTCTACTCCTTTCTTCTAGCACCTCTTGTTTACACTGCGCTTTGTAAAACCAGACAGCTGGTCCTCCAAACATGGACTTTCTTTACAGACCTGTTTGGCTAACATAGCTACCAACATACATAACAGACCAACACCATGTAAATCACACCTGGAGCTCTGCACATGGATTACATTTTCAGACATGCTGATGTAACTGTTGCTACAAAGAGGCTCTGAATCTCATCCCAATCAAGCACAACTTGTTGATCATTATGAAATATTATCTGTAAAGAAGAAAGTTGAGGATTTATTATGGCTAGGTGTTGTGAAGATGCTTGGTAGGTCTTCAAAGACTGTAAAAAATAACAGGTTGACAGCAGACTTCTCACATTCTGGAGGCTGGTTGTTGCAAATCATGACCCCTCTGCCTTACAAAACCTAATGCACTCTTCCGACCAGATATCTGTGTTTTTATTTATGTGAGCTTTCTCATGCACTTAAAATATTCAGCAGTTTTGATACACAAAATTATACCTGCCCCAAAACCAACCTCCTTGTAGATCTCAGTGTGTGAGGAGGGTCAGAAGAGAAGGGCAAGAGCTGAACATAAGAGTCTTTCTGCAACTTCATGAGTGTGAAGGGATATGGAAATATGTTGGAAAGTTTGAACTGCTTTTATATAGCTTTTCCTGATGTGAAACACCCAGGTCTCAATGACAGCAAAGTCTAAAAGCAAGTTGCTGGTAACACGATGGAAGAACTTGCATCATGTAGATAGAACTTGTGAAAAGTTCACTCGTGAAAAACCTCTTAACGATAGCCTTGCTATAATTCATACCACTGTCTGGAAGGGAGTAAAAAGTCTACTTTTATGGGGGTGATGAAGGGTTTAATGCAAGCACAGCACTTCAACTGCACTTTCTTCAAGAAATGTAGAAATAGGGCCCAAATGTGCAAGCACTGTGCTGGGAAGGGAGCAGGCAGGCTTTTTGAGTGTGTACTTCACTCATAAAGTTTTTAGCTTTCAAAATGATGTAGAGAAACTAACATTCAGTTGCAGAATATCAATGCACTACCAAAAAGGAAATGATTTAATTCCTGTCAGTGAGCATCAGCAAACTTCTGCACAAGACAGAAGCAGTTGGTCGTATTCTGACTTCAGTAAGATTTTCCATGTTTTACAAGATGCCGTCACCGACTAGGAAAATTAGTTTAGATGGAAGAAGATGAAAACAGAGTTTATGTTGGGTCAGACTACAAATGAGTCAACAATGCACTGTTGTGAAAGAGGCAAATGCCACAGAGAATGTACAGACCACAGAATAGTACACGTAATGTGTGAAACAATCTTCCCCACTATCTAGCAGTAAGAGCTAGAGAGCTATATCCAGAGCCGGGAAAAATCAGGAGGAGGACAAAAAGCTCTGTGAAGGTTAGTGAAAAGAGCCAGCACAATGTGGTCTGACAAAAAAAAAAAGACTAATGCTGACATGACAGTCTTCAAATATGTGAGGCTTTTGAAAACAGGAAATGAATAATCTCACCTCTATGTCCATGACAGACATGAAAGCAGTTACAAGACTGAAACAAGACAGATATGAGGAAAAGATTTCTAATGATGAGAACAGAAAAAGTATGGGAGATACTGCCTGAGAAGTGACAGAAAACCTGACTCTAAAAGCAAAAGTCCATTGAGAAAGGGATAGATACAAAAGATCCTGCCCTCAGGGCTCTACAACATGCAGCTGGCTTCTTAAGTCCTTATTTCCTGATCTCATGTTTCTACACTTTTCGAGCAAAATGAAATGCTGCATTTTCTTCTTTTATCCTGTTCCAGAATTGACATGAGAAGAAACAAGGGAATGATTTGTCCTTTGCCTGTCAGCCAACAGAAATAAATTCAGTGGAGCCTGCCTGGCTTGGTTTCCTCCATAGCACATGTGTTTTAGGACTGACATTCACGTCCACAGGAGCACACATTATCTTCCCTGCTGTTTGGCTGCCTGTGTATTGGAGATAGAGCTTCTCATAGAACAGATTTTATCAACACCAGTTTCTCTTTCTTTTTTCTGTGTCACCTGTGAGAAAGTTGCATTCAAACTTACCAGAACATAAACTGTTGTGGCTTTTATTTTAGGTTACTGAATATTTCCAACAGTAAGAAACTAGTGAGCTTGCTGTAATTCATTTTATGATCTTTGACTACAAGGTGGTTACTGTGAAATGTGACTGATATAAGTAAGGTGCTATAAAAATGGTTTCCTATAAACCGTCTTCACACAAGATAACAAATAGTAAAAATGATAAATCTGGGTCAAGGTCAGAAATGACCTGCAAACAATATATTATTTTTTAATATGTGAAACATGATATCCATGCACTTATCTCCTACAGGCTAGATCATAACCTGTCACTTATCTCAGTAGTTGCCCACTGTTGATTGCAGAAGGAAATGTTTTTTCTTTTCTGGTAAGGCTTCCACAGCTGAGCAGACCTAAATAGCTCTGCTTTATGGATGCTTTTAACCAGCCTCATCATTTTAGTACCAGAATGCTCTACATCCTGCAAGAATACATCTTGCATAATTCTTGCAGCCGTCTCATAACTTCAAAGGGCACAGATTTCCTTCAAGACTGAAAAAAGAAAAAAGGTACTAAATATATCTGTTAGCATTAGCACTTTGTGACTGTGCTAGCCAAGAGCTGGCAGTCACATTCTCTCAGCCACCAAAGTGTTCTTTTGTCCAAAGCCGCCTTCTCATCAACCACCAGAGCCCATAGCCTGCTGCTTACGTTGGTTTCAAGAGTGTTTGGGTGTGCAGGAAGCTGCAAGAAGCTGCATGAAACATTCTGACAACAGCTGCCTGCAGGCATTGCTTAGATCTGCACAGCAACAGGCGACAGGCACAAAAGAAAAATAGAGGTGTCTGTATAACTCTTTCCATAAGTGCATGTATGTCACAAAAGATGGCACTTTCACTAAACACTGAACTTTGTGTGCCCACGCTGTACAAATGATCTGTACGCATGCAGCAAAATCAGCACTCCTGGGAAGGAGTTGAGCAACCCCTGTGGTCAAGACTGCTATTTATATGCAGCAACATCCACCTCGTGACAAGGTGGAGCTGTCTGGTACAGGCTCAGTCTGACCCCATCAGACAGTAGCCATCTTCCACTGATTTCTTCTTCAGCTACACGAAAAGGATAAGTAGCCCTTGTTGGAAAGAACACCTGTTTACACAAAATTACACAGGAAGTTGTGGTGAAGCTGATGATATTTGATAGATCATGTCCTACTCGGTTATTTTCATTACAACAGTTTCTCCTCACTGATTACCTGTTCATTATGCCAGATGATGGCCGTGATGGCTCCTACTGAGTGGTACTTAATAGCCTAACAATTCTGTTGATCACTCAGTTCTGCTACACAATAAATACACTTCTGCATTATATGTTTGTTGCATTGCATATTTATCGATCAAAATAAATTAATAGTAGAAACTTGAAATTAAGCATACGCTGATTGCTTAACAACTCTACAATTCTTTCAAGAAATTGTCCTTGTAGCACACCAGATGGCATTAGACACTGCGTGCTTCAAACAGCATGGTTATTCACAACATCTTATAAATCCTCACTATAATTGTATCAGCCTCCTCTTAATTATCAATCTTTTTGATAGTACAGGTTTGCAGATTTTACATCCTTGATCTGGCTAATGCTATACAATAATTCAATAACCTAGTGGATGGCAACCTTGCCCACCGCAGGCAGTTGGAACTGAATGGTCTTCAAGGGCCCGTCCAACTCAAGCCATTCTATGATTCTTTGATTCTATGATTCTGTGATTTACAGGGATCAATAGCATCTGGATTTCATATGCACAATTAGAAAAAAATAGCACTGACTGTTTAGTATTAATCTAGTACTGATGTTTCTGACAATACTGATTTCACAGTATCTCACTTTTATTCACCTTTTTGGGAACACTTGGAATATGACTGAGATACAGGCATCTCTTTGCAGTATAATCAATGACCATCTTCCAGGTGGCACTACGCTGGCACATACTTCTTCTCAAATTGTTTCACTGGTTTCTGTCTTCAGTTGTCGATCAGAAGGATGCCTACTA